CAGCTGGTAGATAGCAGTGTTACCACTAAATGGCTCCCATTCAAGTCTTTGATCTGGTCTTAACTTGGCAGACCTTGATTGAGTCACTCATGTGTTGGCTGGGCCTAGATGAACTTCCAGTGGCTTCATATATGCCTGCTGGTGACTGAGTCACCGTCCAAGGTGGTGAGGGTAGAGAGACCACAGGTTCCATCCTCCAAGGGCTTGCCCAAGCATGTTTACACAGTGGCTGAAGGAGACAACCCTCAGAGCAACCGTTTGGAAGCTTCGGTGGGTGACATGTGTCATTGGTGAAAGCAAATCATGCAGTCCAGTGTAAGAGTCAGTGTTGGTGGGAGGTGGGGGCAGGAGTACAGGAATGTTTAGATTTTTGCCTTGCTTTTCTGTGTTTCAGTGCACATACCTGTAGTGCATGCTGTATGGTGTAGCACAGAATGCCCAGGGGATGGTCCCTAAGGGGTCTTGTAAGTCAGAAGCGTGGGCCAGAGTCTTGAGTTACTCCAGATGACCCAGGATGAGCACCCTGCACATGGGGAGATGGCCATTGTGAGGACGGAAGGAAACAGAGCAGACTCATTCTTCTGCAAGTCGTAAAGCCCGGGTACAGAACAGTTGTTCCCTGCTTCACCACCTCGAGAGTAGGGAACTTGCTCATTCCTCACCAGGAATTATCCACTTGGTGGCAAAAGCTTCGTCTCTGGCACAATTTAGCTTGGCTTCCGCCCACTGCTAGAGCAGCCTTGCTGTACACCGGAGCGCTTGGGGAGTGCAAAATCACTTTAATATTGGCTGGAGACAAGTGTAATTAGAAAGGTAAATCTGCTGAAAAAAAATCACATTATGCAAATGTGATTAGCAATGACTTTTGGGTTCTTTGTTATTTGAGAGCTTCTGCTCCTTGGCACAGATGTGGAGAGCTGGCTGGATGCTTCTAGGAGGTACTCGGGAAATGGGGTACAAGGACACAGAATAGGGAGAGAGGCCTTCACCCCTGGGCATTGGGAAGAATCTCCTCTTCCATCAGTCCCCAAGGGTTCCAGTCAGTTTCCTTTGTGGAGTTCTAGGGACAAGTCCTGATGATGGGCAGCTTGCCTGAGAAGAGAAGGACTCTTTTATTCCAAGTTATGGCTGTATTTCCCTGACACTGGGCTGGAGGTGTGGTCCAGCAGGTGGCTTTGCCTTTGATAGGCTAGGGTAGAGGAGGAACTTTGGATCTGCCTCTAGGAGCCACCAGGAGGTAGTCAGAGCCTAGAGCAGCCTTTTCCTGCTTGGGACCTTGTATATTGATTGACAGCTGGAGTAGTCCTTTCCTGTACTGAGAGAAAGGATGGCCTTGGCGACACTCCTGAGGACAAGGCTGGAGAGGTCTCACAGTCTGGCTTTTGTGGCTCCTTTGATAATGATGATGTGGTTAAATGGTAAATAAGTACCACCCACCTTAGGGAGGGCTTGAGAGCTTATGAAGTGGTGAACACTGTGTTTCGCATAATGTCCTTCACTTCACTTTCCTAACAGTTTGGCAAGCCAGACACGATTATGGTCATTTCTGTTGTAAAACTCAGGCCCAGTGATTCTCTCCAAGATCACTGGTGGCAATTGCAGAGCCAGGACTTGAACTCAGGCCCAGACTGACTTTGAAGAATGCATTTCAAGTCATCAGGCCCCCAGGGCCCCATCCCTTCCTGCACGAGGGTGCCCAGGTGAGCTGTCTTTGCTGGTCACCTTCCAGTCTTTCCCAGGCACACCCCTGGCCACGGCTGGGTCTTCCCTTGTTACTCTGGTGAGTTTCCAGTAGACCTAGACTCCTTTAGAAGTTTCTGGATGCTAGTATGTGTGGCTATTCGCTTGATGAGTGGTCCTGTCTGTACTCCAGGGCTTCTTTGGACTGACCACATCTGACCTGTCCAGGCCTTTGGGACCGTTGGCTCTGGAGAGGGTGAAAGTCTTGGGAAAGCTAAGATGGCGATGTGTGTGTGTGTGTGTGTGTGTGTGTGTGTGTGTGTGTGTTTCCTGATGTGCTCACAACTCCCTCCTCAGTCTGGCTCCTCTAGATTTCTGAGCTCTCTGGGCACCCACATTTCTCTTCTGTTTGTGTATTTTTCTCCTTCACTTCTGAAAGGAGTACGAAGCTTAGGGACATTCTTGGAAGGATTACTCCTGTCTAGGGCTGTGCTGGTGTTAACCAGAGCCGGCAAAGGGATTTTGGGAGGGGGGTTGGGATGTAGTGGAGCTGGGTCCACTTCTTAGGGCTAGGGCAAAGTTCTGGAATGGGAAAATCCTGCTGCCCAGCCCGGCTCAGCGTTGCCAGCAGATACAGAGAAGGAATTCCTGGATCTTCCTTTCTAACAACTACCAGGTTGCCCTCTTCCTTTGACTGTCTCATGCACTTGACATGTGCAGAGCTGGTCTCTTCATGACACAGGACTGATCTGTGTTTGTGCTTCCTGTACTGGGCTGGCACCCTTGAACCCCTTTCATTTGTTTATTATAATATGGATATGAAATATTTCCCCCACCCCCACCCCAAGGCTTGGCCACCAGCTGGTGGTGCTATTGAGAGGTGGTTGGCTCACCAGGACTCTAACCTCATCTAGGTGATTAATTCACTGATGAGTTCATAGCTACATGGGCTATTAGTAGGCAGGGCTGAGTTAGAGAAGTGCATCACTGGGGGCATGGATTTGAAGGGTCTGTTTCTAGCCCTTTTTCTCCTCTCCCCACACCCTTCTTCTATGATGCTTCTGCTTGGCTGGGTCCTAAAGCAATGCAGCCAGGTGTGGATCCATGGATGGAAATCTGTGACATGGCAGGCCAATATAAATCCCGCCTCCCTTAAGGTGTTTGTGGTGAGGAGACAACCAAACCAGAGTGGCTGCCTGATCTGTGCAAGGGTATGGTATGCCCTCATTGGCGACCCTACTCCTGGACCCTGCCTCAGATGAACTCCCCATCTCTCTCCTGGGTCATCACAAGGCACCAGGCTCCAGTCTAAGCTGGGATCACCATCATACAGCTACCATGATTATCTTCTAGGACCAACTATTGCCTGGCTTGCCATTGTTCACAAATGATATTGAAGTCCTTGGATAGCACCCAAGGCCGGCTGTGATCTGACTTCACCCCTGCAGCCTGTGTCCCCTGAGGACTGTCTCCCCTCCTCCCGCCTCCCCAAATCAGCTGGTACCAATCTGCCTTTCCTTATCACGGGGCTCATTCCCCACTGGAACCTATGAAGCTGCATGTCATATGGCCTCTGCCAACTTTGCCAGCTCTAAGGGCCAGGCTGGTTACTGCCTCCTCGTGCATTCCTTTCCCAGCCTTCTGGCTCCGTGGGCTTCTCCATTACAGCCATGATTGCATTGCCATTACTGGTTTACCTGGCTGTCTTGCAATAGGCCTAGCTCCTTGAAGGCAGGAACACCCAGCTTATTTATTGCTGAATCCCTTTGTGGAAAGCCTGGCACATAGTAGGCGCTCAATTAGTGTTGGTTGAGTTGAATCCTCTCACAACTCATGGAATTGATTTGATTTGGAAACAACACTGCATCCAGAGAATTGATTTTTGTCTCTTCCCAGGGGTGCGCGAAGATACAATTCTCCTCTTCATTGGCTGCTCTTTTGGAAGAAAATAGCATTGCAGTATCTGGATGGATTTGAGCCTGCAGCCTGGGTGGGAGGGGCGGGAGGTGAAAGTGTAGCCCAATGGGCTTCGCTCATCTCCGGGAGAGGTGTGTACAGCCAAGGCCCCCCTGCTGTGACGGAGATGGGGATCCACTGTATTCCTTTCCATAATGGAGGCAAAGGCTAAAAGTAGTCTTCCTTCATCTTGGCTGACAAATAGGGAGAATAAATTACCCAGGCACTAAAAGTTGCATTAGGCAAATAAACATTTCGACAAGAATTATATGTGACATTCAAGAGAAAGCAAATAAACCCTAAGTTATGGGGACCTGTCAAGGCTCTAGGAGAATTAAGTAACTAAAAATCGTTAGTAGTGACTTGGACTGGCTCTTAAACCTTTCCTGCCTCCACCTCCTCTCAGGGGTTCCCAGGAGATTCTCAGGTTCCAGGGACCTCAGATTTGGAAGAACCTTAAAAAGCTGCCAGGAAGTGCTTTCCATTAACCAAGTGGGCTGCAGAAGCCCCTGGACAGGGGTGGGGGATGTTGGGGGTTTGGGGGAGGAGTGGATTGAAGGGCAGGGCAGACTCATATCTGGGACTCAGAACTGGGAGTTCCTTTTTTTAATCTATATTATGTTAATTAAGGATTCAGTAAACTAAAGAATTATCTTCTGATAAAATTCTGCTACTAAGTGATTTGAAAACCACCATTCTGGAGTAAACACATCCTGATAGGAAAAAAAAAATCTTATAACACTTGGGTAAACAATTGTCCAGTCTCTTGAACACCTCCAATGATGAGGAACTCATCCCAGGTTTCCCAGCAGACTAGTTGTCTCCATCTTCCTCTTCATGAGATTTCCAATTCAGGACTCTGGTGTCAGGGCACACTTGTTCACTGTTAAACGCTGGGCAGACCATGAGGCTCTGTGTCCCAGTTCCCTCTGTGAAAAGGAGATGGTGTGTATTTGTTAGCAGACTTAGGGGCTTAGCTGACACATAGATTTATTATCTTCACTTTTTATAAGTCTCACTTCTCTTCCTCTTCCTCCTCTTCCTTCTCCTCTTCCTCCTCCTCCTCTTCCTCCTCTCCTTCCTCCTCCTCCTCCTTCTCTTCCTCCTCTCCCTTCTCTTTCTTCCCTCTCCTCTTCCTCTTCTTCCTCTTCCTCTTCCTCCTCTTCCTCTTCCTCCTCCTTCTCTTCCTCCTCTCCCTTCTCTTTCTTCCCTCTCCTCTTCCTCCTCCTTCTGTTTCTTTTTCTGTTATAGGGCTTGAATTCAGGGCTTGGGCACTGTCCCTAAACTTTTTTGTTCAAGGCTAGTGATCTGCCACTTGGAGACACAGTGCTACTTCTGGTTTTCTGGTGGCTAATTGGAGATTCAGAGTCTCACAGACTTCCCTTCCTGGGCTGGCTTTGAACCTCAATCCTCAGATCTCAGCCTCCTGAGTACAAGGATTACAACAGGCTTGAGGCATGGGCACCAGGCCCCAATCATTTCTTCAGTTATCACATCTCCTCCTCTGACTCTGACCCTCCTGCCTTCCCTTCATAAGGACCCTGTGAAAACATGGAACCCATATAATTGGAGTCACTTCCTCATCCTCATCTCAGGATCCTTAACCGTGTCTCTTGTTGCCAGGTAGGATAACATTTTCCAGGGATTGGGACATGGCTGCATCTGGGGCTCATTATTCTGCCTCCCCACAGAGTAAGAGGCTCAGCCTCAGAGAATGTAGTGAAGGGTAGACGAGGTAGTGATTGTTAAGGGCAGAACACAGGACTGGACACAAAGTGGGGTTCCAGCCAGGGATGCCTCCGTCCTGTGCATCCAGGTGAACACCCTTGGAATGCTCACCTTTTCCTCTCCCCTCTGCAGCTGGGGGACAGAGACACCCAGGATGGCTATATTTGGGGGACTGGATGACATTAAGAGCCAAGAAGCAGTGTTTGGAATCATAGGCTATTTAGGATGTGGAGTTGAGAGTACTTCATGGCCAACTTCAATGCCTGGGATGAATCGCCCCCAAATTACTCTAAGTTTGGCTGTGGGCACAAGTTGGCATCATTTGTGAAGATGGTTCAAGGGGGATGGTGAGTTCAGGCAATAGCCAGGGGATGCCCTGGACCATATTGTCTGGGAGGGACCAGGGAGTTGGGTCTAGAGCTTGAGACACAGAATTGGACCAGAGATGGTGCTTTGAGAGTTAAGTTGTCAGCCTAGAGAATGGAGTGAGAATGAGAAGAATGGAGGATGGATGCTGGAAGTTTCTCCTCCAGCTGTACACCTGGAACCACACTCAGAGATAACAGTAGTAATTCATCTCGCTTGTGTGACACTTTGCGGCTTCATCAGCAACATCACATTATCTTGTTTAATCTGCATCAGCAGCTTGCTAGGGAAGAATATTCTTCTGTTGAGACATGAGCATACAGAGGTTCAGAGAAACCCAGAGACTTGCTTAGGCTGATAGCAAGGAAGATCGGAGCAGGGACGGGAGCCTGAGTCTCCTGACTGTGGTAACTCTGGGGCTGTATCTGGGGGGTGGGGGTGGAGGGGAGGCAGGTCACAGACCTGCACAGCAGGGGGCTGCTCCGCACCTGTTTAGCTTTGCTAAGTACAAAAACCGCTGGGGACCAGACCCTAGTGCTTAAGCCTCCCTTGGGATTTCAGTAGGACCCAGGGACAGTGGGGGTGACGGGCAGTTGTTTCAGCCACACAGGTTTAGGGGCAGGTCTCAACTTTGTGAGACTCTCTGACCCTGGCCAGGTTCCCTGAGATCTCTGAGCTCTAGTTTCCTTGTTCATGAAAGGAGACTAGCAATTCCTTCCTCTCAGGCTGGTGGTGATGGGGGAGAGCTGTGCCTTCCTCCTCCTCCTCCTCCTCCTTCTTCCTCCTCTCTTCCTTCTCTTCCCCCTCCTTTCTTTCTCCTTTTTTCCTCCTCTTCTTGCTTTTTCTCCTCTTCCTCCTTTCTCCCTCCTTCTCCTCTCTTCTTCCTCTTCCCTCTTTCTTCTTCCCTTTTTCTTCCTCCTCTCCTTTTTCTTCTTTCTGCTCCTTCTCTCTCCTCTTCCTCCATCACCATCATCCCATCTATTGATTGCTGTTGCCTTTGAGTTTTGAGTCCATTCTTTTCTCCATCAAATAAAGAATTGTGGGGTAGGAAAAGTGGAAACAGAGACAAAGCTTATTTGAAAGTGAGAGTAAGATGTCTGGGAAACTGAGGAAAGTCTCTTAGCTTCTAGTAAGTTAGTATAAGCCCCCACCTAGGACCCCTGGCTGGGTTGCCTTTTTGCCACATGGGGTCTTGTCCATTTTCTACCAGGGCAAGGAGAAGGAAGAGGAGGAGGAGGAAGTGAAAGAGAATGAAATGGGCAGCCCCATGTGGTGCTGGCTCCCGGGTCTCCCGTTTTATATCCTCTGGTCCATCTCAGCTGTTCACTGCCTGGTCACTGTCTCCTTTCCGGGGGGAGGCACCTGTCACCCCTGCTGGGACCTTCTCCAGAGTCTCCAAGGGCATTGCTTCTGTCAGGGCTTGTCTTGCTTTCCCAGGGCCTCCAGGCAGAGGAGGGAGCATTGTCTTTTCCCCTTTCTCTGTCCCTGGCCTTCAGATCAAGGACCTGCTCTGTGATTTTTTTAAATACACCATCACTTTAAACCCTGCAAATTAACTGCTCTGATGCCCAATATTAGCAAAGACTCTGAGCCCAGATAGGCAAAGGAACTTTCCTGAGGACATTCCACTTTCTGAGTCCATAAGCCAGGCAGGCCTGACCCCCAGGGTAGTGTGACACCAAAGCCAGAGCTGCTCCCCATCATAGCCTGGGCATCCCGTGCAAAGGGGGCATGTGCATGTCCCTTCTCTTTTGTCTACACTGCTCCCCACAGGAGCAAGTTTCACACAGGCTTTCATGGCAGGATGGGAGGGGTAGGGGTGGGGTATGGACCCCTGTTCCCCTGCCCACCTCTCTCCTGCAGCCTCACCAGGCAGCCCTAAACCAGAGATTTCTCTCCATCCTTCCTCACCAGTGGCTTTGCCAACTCCCAAAGTATCCAGAACCCTTTGCAGCAGGCAAAGCTAAATTTAGAGCCCGCGCTCTGTTAACTCGGTGAATAATGCTAATTAGCATAACAATTCTTCCTGCAATTAAGTTGAGGAGGGGGTGAGGAGGTGGTACATGGTCCAAGAGGAAATTACACAGGGAGCTTTTCCTACTGCTGGTTTCCAAGGCCCTCGCTGGAGGTGTCTGTTTGGCGTGGCTCCTTCTTGGATGGCTGGATCCAGAAAAAGCCTTGTGTGGGGTGAAAGGAGGGAGTGTCTGTCTCTAACCTTATTGTGATGTGTTATTGGTGCATGTGTTAAAGCGCAACTCCAAGCCACACTGGGGATGAATTAGGTGTTGTAAGCAAGCTGTCACCTGCTCTGAGAGTGTGCGAAAATTACCGATTGCTTTGTCTTGGAAAACCACAAAGTAGCACCTCTCTTCCAGAAGTAAACACGTAAGTTTGGGAAATGACTTTGGAATAAAGTTCTCATTGGGCTTAGGGGCCCAGCCTATGGCTTGACCCAGCAAGGCCAAATGGCCTCCCCGTGCATCTCCAGTAATAGCTTGGTCCAGCAGGCACCAGTGTGGCCCTGAGATTCCCCCTGCTGCTTCAGGCTTTCCCTAAAGCAGGCCGGGAAGCCTAACATCTCCAGTGCATGGGGCAGGGTGTCCAGCCAGGATGGCTTGGGCTGAGGGGGAGGTAGAGGGGCAGAGGGGCCCCAGAGGGAGTTGCTATGAGGCTCTTCTCTGTTCCTTCTGACAACACTGCTGCTCTTACAGATGCACCTTGGGAACCCAGGAGTGCTCTCATTTTCTGGTACGATTTCATGACATATTTTATCGACCTCCTTTCTGCTTTCTGTAAGGTATATTAAATAGGTAGGTTTCATTAGGTAGCCGATGAGGAGAATACCACGCACTATTCAGGCAGGAAAAGAAGTTTACTTATCAAACTGCTGCCCCCACCCCCCATGCATGGTGGAGAGGCATGGCTGAAAAAGGAAAAAGGGGGGTGACCCACCCCTGGGCCAGAACTTATCTAGGCCAGGGACAGGAAGAGGTGTGGCCACACTGGATCCGGATGTGACCTCAGCGTCTGGGACCCTCCTAAGGTCACGTGGGAGGCATGTGACCAGAGGTAGCCCAGGATGTGACCTAGCAGGAGGGGAAGATGACTGCTTCCAGGTCTGCCAGTTACCTAGGTAACAGATACTGGGCGGAAACTTAGCCAAGAGGGAGGGAGGTGTCCCTGCTCAGACCTTACACTTTCCTCTTCTGGGCTTTCTTTCTGAGTAGGACAGAACAGAATGGGTCTCTCTCCTCCACAGCTTTGGTCACTAAACTCTTGGCTCATGCATGGGAACCCATAGACAGTTAAAGCTATGGGGAAAGGAATCTGCCATTCCCTGTTTTGTTAGGCATTTGCCTGTTCTCTGGGCTATGAGGGAGAGATAAAGCCAGATTGACCTCAGCTTGTCTCCAGCATTGGAAAACATGGGCTAGATGTTAGGTTTATTCTGGTTTAGAGATTGCCTTGGGCTGGGGGTGGAGCTCAGTGACAGTGCTAGCCATTAGCAGAAGTACCTGCACTCTTCCTTGTTTCCAATCATCCATAGATTGACCTGTGCTCTGTAAATCCTTACTGGTCCCAAGAACATTGTAAGTGGAAACATTAGAGTCTGAGAATCTCTATTTACCAAGTCCTCCCTCCCTCCCTCCCTTTCTCCCTCCCTCCCTTCTTCCTTCCTTCCTTCCTTTCCTCCCTCTGTCCCTCCCTCCCTCCCTTCCTCCCCCCTCCTCTCTTTTTCTTTTGTGCTACTGTTGGGATTTGAATTCAGGCTCTGGGTGTTGTCCCTTAGCTTTTCCACTCAAGGCTGGTGCTCTACCACTTGAGCTGCAGCTCTACTTCCAGCTTTTTGTTGGTTAATCAGAGATAAAAGTTTCACAGGCTTTTCTGCCCAGGCTGGCTTTGAACCTCCCATCCTCAGATCTCAGCCTCCTGAGTAGCCTGGTTGCAAGTTCAACTCCTCTGGCCTCCAAACTCCTCACTAGGGCCTCCAAAGTTAGGCTTTGCTGCTGTCCTGACCCATCCCCACCACCCTAGCTGTCCTGTAGAGCTAGGGGCTCTCTAAAAATCCTCTAGGTAGTGCCTGGCCGGCATGGAGCCCTCCACAGGAAGGCTTTAGAAGGCCCAGTCTTCAATTCAGGGCTCTGAGAGTACTGCATGACACAGTGCTTGCGCTTCTCTTGAGGACACAGCTTTTGGACAGAGATTTCAAGTGACTTATTGGCTCCATTGGCTGGCTTTCAATTCTGGATATCAGGTGGGGACTCCCAGCTTGACAGGTGGTC